CCCAGGGCGGGCTCCGCTGCGGCAACGCGAGCGGGCTCAGCATAGCGCCACCGCGCGGGCCTCCGGGGCAGCGAGCGGGGCGGGCCTCCGGGCCCACCCCGCCGGGCACAGACTTTCTCTGGGGCGCAGGCGGCTGCGGGGCACGGGCAGCCCGCTGCCGAGGACGAGCGTTTGCCTTAAACCGTTTTTGCTTCAGGGCTACGCACAGCTGTACCCCATGATAAATCACAAATCGGTATTCCCTGTGGCTCTAACTAGGAGTATACTGACCGTTTAAAACTGATATATGTATAGTGGACATTTATGTGTCCTGTGCCCTCTTCCTCTCCTTAGAAAACCCCGAACAGACAAGTTAGAAAATGCAGCTGGCTTAATTTTACTCCCACTGACTTCAGTGGGTGTTTTGCTATTTTCTTCAACTGGAGAATGATCAGGTTTAAATAGGATCATTAATGTAAGTGCCTTTGAGGGATCCCCACCCTGCCCCAGTCTGTTTCACCAGGCTTCAGAGGACTAAGGCTGTCCAGATAAACTTCCTTAACATACAAAGAAAACATGTTAAGAAAGTATGCCATTTAAAAAAAAAAAAAGGGTTTAGGAAGGATTACATTTGGTTGCTACCTTGACAAGATTAATAAAAGACTGACTTGTACAAATTCTCCCATCCTGCTGCATATGAGTATTTTTGATTTAATTAATATATGGAACATTCTTGATTAACCACATTCATGTTTTTAGTTTCATGCTGAGAGTGAAATACAGTAGGGCTGTGCATCATTTTGTTTCAGCTTCCATTTTGCTGTTTCGATGGGACAGTGTTTCTTTTCAAGTTTCGTTTAATTTTCAGAGCACTGGTCCGTTTCATTTTGTAGAAACTGTTTTGCTGTTTCAATGATGTTTCGACGTTTCACCCATAGGCTATAATGGGGAATCACAAAACTGCCCGTAACTTTGTCATTTATTGCCTGATTCAGGTGAAACTTGCAGGGATAGTAGCCCCTTCTGAGGGCATGAAGCCAGACAAGTTTCAAGGAAACAGCTGTAGAGGTTTCTGGGAAACTGCACCTCAAACTGTTCAAAGCAAGACTCATGACACTTGCCAGCAGCAGCAGCCTCCTGTCATCTGGCCCACAGATCCAGGAGCCCATGCCCTGGGGAGGGCTGCTCCCGGAAGTGTGGCCTCTGATCTGTGCTCCAGATGACAGACATGTGCTACTGCCACCTGGGACCAGTGCTGGGCACAGCCCATGCCAAGCGCTAGGAAAACTGCTGCTGCCACTGGCCCCAGCCAGCAGCAACAGCATGCTGTCATCCTGTACGCAGATCCAGAGGCATAGGTGACTGGTAGGGGGTGCATGGGGGTGCACATGACCCCATGAAGGGGCCGGTGCATGTCCTGACGGCTGACACTGATGCTGTTTGTAGGGTTGGTGCCACCCCTGACGGCTGCCACCATCGACAGCTTCTATGGATACACCCCCAGATTCAGGAGGCACCAGTCACTCATGTCCGGGGGCCCACACCCCCAAGACGGCTGTGGGACTGTGCCAGATTCCTCCTGGGGGGCACCACCCACAGATATGCATGCCAGATGACAGGAGGCTGCCGCTGCTGGCTGGGACCGGCGCTGAAGCCAAGTAAGCCCAGCTTTGAAACTCAAAACGTTTCGAGTGCCCTTGTTTCGTTTCAAAGCTGTTTCAAAGGCTTTTGTTTTGTTTTGATTTTGCTGTTTTGAGCTTGAAATGCATTGAAACAACTTTGAAACAAAACACCTGGCAAAATTTCGCAGAGCCCTAACATACAGCCCACTGCTTAGAACTATGGCGTAGTCTTTGCCATAAAGTATGACCCACAGGCATGAATGTGTTTGCACTAAAAAATCCTCTACAGCAACAGAAATCTTTTCCTGCCAGAAGAGGTAAAGCCACTTCTGCCAACTGAAATGAGGCTTCTGCCAGCAGCTGCAGTTCCTTCAGTAGCTGGTGCTTTTCCAGGGTGGACTTTGGGCTCTCACAGTTCAGATGCTGGATGAAGGTGCACAGAGCTGGCAGAAGCACACAAATGTGTATGCATTTTTGGTGATGGCAGCTGCTTTCTGCTGTTGGAAGTTCCGGGGGTGGAAACAAGCTAGGCCAGTGAAACAAAAGATCTTGTATCTTTTCGGCATTATACCTTTCAGAACAACTTAGTGCATTCCACATCAAAATGATTGAAGATAAAACTAAAAGTATGTTTAAGAAGTTGAATAGTGGTCTGGGAGTAAGGGTCTGTTTTGATTAAAAGATCAATTGAGTTTAGCTTGGGCTCAGCTAGTTAGCTGAGCCCAGCTTATACCTGACTACTCTTCCTACTCAACACCATAATTTTGTGACTGCAATATATGGTGTATATACCTGAGTAAGCTTTAACTAGGTAGTTCAAGTGCTGGGAGCAGTCTAGCATACAGAATCAACCAGCAAAGTCCAGGCTACTTTACTAGTGTCCTAAAACAACCCAGGATATTCTGTCTTTTCCTGAACTCCTTCACCCACCTACTGCCTGCCCACAGCAAGTCTCCACCCTCTTCCCTTCCCTGTTCCAATGTTCTCCTCCTCCTCGTCTCTCACACAAGCATAATTATTTGATGATCAGAACTCTAGTTTATCAACTCCTTGTATAGTGAATTTGTTTTGTTTTTACCACCTAGACTTTTCTGGTGCTAAAATGTCATCCTCCACAACTGCACGGTCGGATGAATTGATTTTCTTTGTGAATGGAAGAAAGGTATGTTTTGGAGGGAAAGGGATGGAAAGAGTGGACTTACAGTTACTCTTCAGATGAAAAATATGTTCTTCTGCCAGAAGAGCTCTTCTCTGAAAACAAGCCTTGTTATTAAAAAATAGCATTCTGTTTGATTTTGCTGTACTCATATATGGGCTAAATCAGTTTGTTGTGTCATTTGGAATGTTATTTTTTTGTAGTTGAGCTCACTTAAGTATAGAGGAATGGGTTTTTCCTTTCCTGCATATAGAAAGTAAGCCATTAATCTTGAAAAATATTGTTTAAAATAGTTCTTGTTTTAAAAGTAATGTTCTAAGTAAATGCATGATGATAGAAGAATTTATGGTTTTTAATTTACTCTCTTTAAAATGCAAAGTGTTTTGTTTCTTTCAGCACATGCATGACTTTTTAAGAAGTTTATATTTTGCAGGATTAAAAATAGCATAAACAAAGTTAATACCACTTTAGCACAGATTTACAAATCAGATTATTTTATTAAAATATATTGTGTACTACTTCGATATTTCGCTTGTTCACCAAAATGTACAGGCAGATAGTAGGAAAGCAGACCAGAACAAAAGAACCACTTCTAATTAACAAAACTCACCCATGCAAAAAATCCAAAGACACAACCATTGGAGGCACTAAAATTTTTAAGCAAGTTCCATACACAAAGGGAAACACAATATAACGCATTGTATTATGTCAAACTTGTCATCTCCCAATAAACTATATGCATTTAACTCATTGCATTTTGAGATTTTTGAAGGGATTGCTCATTTTTCTGCTTAGTGTAAGGGCTTACACCTACAAATGAGTATGCTTCTGTGAATACAGTAGTTGTCCGTGGGTATTGAAATGATCAAGCCTTCTTTGTGTTAGCTTTACTAGAAAACATGTGAGCTATCAGGTGTCCAATAAAATGATCATGTCCAGCACATGACAAAGTCTAAGTATTTTAATGGTTTATTTTTATCTATCTATCTATGTAAGTCCAGTAAAAATGCCAATTATTTTAATAATACAGTATTACTACAAAAATTAGACTATTTCATACAAATATTATTTCCTGTCTTAAATTTACCCTGTATATATACTTAAATACAACAGTCAAGTTCCCTATTGACTTTTGCATCATATTCTTTGCAACAACTATTACTTCTAAAATATATTTTCCATGGTCCATTTTTACATTATAAAGCTGTCCTGGGATCAGACACTGGGGGTGTCGCTCAGGATGCTCACTAATTCCACTGGGTACAAACAACACACATGTAACAAATTACCACTACACAGCCACAGTTCTAACAATTACCGTTTTTTTCACTTTTGCTGTGTAGTTAAAATTTCTGTGTTTTATTACTGCAGTTTGATTTTTTTAAGGTTACATGCATATGTGTATGCTGCTCCATTCTCTGTTATCAATATAGTGCAACAGATTTCTGATTCAGATTTTCCTCCTATCATCTGTTGAAGAAATTTAAAAGGAAGGTAGATGTAGAACATAGTGTGTTAGGTCTTAGCAAGAACGTCACATATTGTTTGTGGAATACTTTGTAATCTGAAAAAAAAATGGTCTAGTGATTTGAGTGATCAAGTTAAACAAGACAGGAGTATAAACCATGTTAGTGAGCGGTTGGCCTTTGGTTGTAACAGTCATTTCAGAAAAGTTATTGAGGAAAAAAGCAGTGATGATAGACACATTACTATCACCTTTTGTTTAAACTAGTTTTGCACTAAAACCTGGCACTGAATCTGTAAGGCTAGATTTGTGACTTAAAGCCACAGGCTATAGTTAAATGGGAGTCTTTAGGAAGAGTTTTAATTGGCTATCTTATGTTGTCTGAAGAGCTTCTCTCATGATTAACTAGTTCAGCTACAGGTTAGCTCACATCTGTCTACCATTTTTGTGAGGTTAGCAGCCCTGTTGTTCCTGTACTCTTGGGCACTAGACCACATGACATAAGACAGACCCTAACATCATTACTGGCAATAGAGGCAAGAGAGGATGAATCATCTGCTCTATCAACTGCTAGCTGATGACCCAAGCAGATGGAAGCTTCAGAGGCCTATGACACAGGGCAACAGCCCCGTGGGATTGGAGACACCGGTGCTGGGGGCAGAGAGGCGATAAGGAGGACACAGAAGCTTGGGGACACAGCCTGGAGAGAGCTGTGACCTGAGGCCACTTACCTGGCCCAGGTGCAGCAAAAAAAAATGTGGAATGGCAGGCAACACCACCCGCACCCTTTATCAGCTCACTCTTGGTGTGGCTGGAGTGGTGTGGGGGTGTGACATCATCTGCCAGTGCTGAGAAGGGCCTTCAAAAGCCAACACAAAACAGAGATGGGAAGTAGCATCAACAAGGCAGCTGTAGGCTCTCAGCCGGCACGCCTGGCCATACTACGTCCCAGAGATGCCGGGGACATTCCAGAGGAGAACATGGCCTTTTGGGGAGACAGCTCCTTGAAGCAAGGAAGAGAGAAGGGCAGAGGATCCAACAGCCTAGCACCCGACAGGGTCACGTGAGTGGAAGGAAGGGCACTTCCTCCCTGTTTTCTACATTTAAGTTTCATTGATTTCTCCTGAGGTTTTAAGCTAGGGCCACGTACTGTTGCTGCCTTGACTGGAGCCGAGAGACTAGGAGCTCCCAAGGACTCTGGGGCAGAGGAACAAAATAAAGTTGGGAGTCCTCTGTCTGGGGCACCATTGGGAAAGACCAATATGCCACATGAATCTATTTAGAGAGTGGCAAGAGCCTCAGTGCAGCCCCAAAGGGGAAAAGATAGGGGTGGAAGAACAAGTAAGAATGGGCATGGGGTTAACTCCTCTTCAGAAGAAAGAGATGCTAGCCCTAGTATGAGCCTACCAGGACACTTTCCAGGATAAGCCAGGCTGGGTCTGCAGCATCCAACACAAAATCTGCACCTCTGAAGGGATGGCAGTGCAAGAATGGTGGCAGCCAGTACCACGCCACCTTCAGAACAAGGTACACAACAAACTCAGGAAGATGTTAGAACAGGGAGTGATCCAGCCTTTGTGGAGCCCCTGCCGCAACCCACTGGTCCCCATGCCTAAGCCAGATGGATCCCTCTGCTTATGTGTAAACTTTAGGAGACTGAACAAGATAGAGGTCTTCAACATGTTCCTGATGCCACGTCACAGAATTAATGGAATGTATCGGGGATTCCCACTTCATTTCCACACTGGATCTATTGAAGGGCTACTGGCAGATCCCAGTAGCCTGCTGGGATTGGGCTAAAATGGTATTTAGGACCCCGTGGGGCCTTTACAAATTTGTGTAGAAGCCCTTCAGGCTTTTCAGGGCAGCAGCCATGTTCCAACGTATGATAGGCTGGGTGCTAGCACCTCACATCTAGTATGCACCAGCATACATCGACGATATTGTCATCTTCACTAAAACATGGCTCCAACATATCTGGGCCCTGCAGGCCATGTCAGTGGAGCTAAGGATGATGGCCAACCCCTGAAAATGTGCATTGGGGATGTGGGAAACAAAATATCTTGGCTTTCAAGTAGGGCAAGGGGTTATCAAGCCGTTGGTGGAAAAAGTGAAAGGTATCCGAGAATTCCAAATCTCTCACAACCACAAACAACTGTGGCCCTTTCTAGGCTTAACTAATTATTATTGGCGGTTCATGCCACATTTTTCTGAGTTGGCAGCCCCTTTGACAGAAGCCCTGAAAGGACGAGGTTTGGGAGCTATTCGATGGACACCCAAGATGACCAGTAACTTTGAGAAGCTCAAGGATGCCCTGTGCCAGGATGTATTGATTCACAGGCTTGACTTTGATAAACCCTTTATTTTACAGACCGATACTTCAGACTCTGCAGTTGGGGCAGTGTTGATGGAAGAGGACACAGGTGTCGAGAGACCAGTGGTGTCTGCCAGCCACAAACTTCACCTGGCAGAAACACAGTATGCCACTATTGAAAGGGAATGTCTGGCCATTCAGTGGACCATTGAGCACTTCCACTATTGTGTCATGGGTCAGAAATTCAAATTGGCCATGGATCATGCCCGCCTACAATGGCTCAGCCATGCCAAGACCAGTAATGCCCAAATAATGAGGTGGACCCTTACCTTTACAACCTTTTAAGTTCCAGATAGTGCACCGGCCTGGGAGAACTAACACTGTGGCCAACTTCTTGTCCAGGTATGGGAGTGAAAACCGAATTCCCAGGAAGGGATATGACACAAGTGACGGAACTCAGTTGACAAGTATGAAACAGGAACCCATGATACTAGTGCCCTAGGGCAACTTAAAGTGGGGGATATGTCGCAGAGTGACAGCCCCACAGGGCTGGAGACCCTGGTGCCGGGGGCAGAGAGGCGGTAAGGAAGACGTGGAAGCTCAGGGACATGGCCCAGAGACAGCCATGATCTGAGACCATTTACCTGGTCCAGGTGCAGTAGTGGAAAATGCAGAATGGTGGGCAACACCCTCTGCACAATTTATAAACTCGCTCTTGGTGTGGCTGGAGTGGCATGAGGGTGTGATGTCATCTGCTGGTGCCAGAAAGGGCCTTCAAAAGCCAGTGCAGGACAGAGAGACGGAAAGCAGCAGCAGCAAGGCAGCTATAGGCTCCTGGCCAGCACACCTAGCTGTACTACATCCTGGAGATGCCAGGGGCAACCCAGAGGGGAGCACAGCCTTTTGGGAAGACAACGCCTTGGAGCAAGGCACAGAGAAAGGCTGAGGATCCGACAGCCCAGTGCCTGACAGGGATGCATGAGTGGGAGGAAGGGCATCCTCTCCCTGTTTTCTACATTAAAATTCCATTGATTTCTCCTGGGGCTTAAGCTAGGGCCACATACTGTTGCTGCCTTGACTGGAGCTGAGAGGCCAGGAGCTCCTGGGGACTCTGGGGAACAGAATAAGGTTAGCCCTGAAGGCCTGTCCAGTCAAAGGGGGTGGCCTCAGAGAGCAAGACCACTCATCCATATTGGTTAGGTTTCTTAGGCAGGGTGTGATCATGAAATAACTCCTGCCAGTCCCTAGTGGACCCACGGCTGCTGCACAGATCAGCCAGCTCACCTAAAATATGTGGCTGGCCCAACCAGTTTGAGACAGTACACTGGACCACAGAGGAGTCCAGACTGTCTACAATGTGGCATGAGACCAACATTTTGGCACTTGGAAGGGGTATAAGGAAGGTGGAACCCCAAGGGAAGTCCATCCAGAGCACCCCTTAATGAGTCCAGGTCATATGGGAGCCTCCTGCATCTTCTTTTAAGAACAAGACGTAGCGGGTGAGCAACAGGAGCATCCCGTAGGAAATGGCGCATGGCAGACACTAGTGCCAGAGGTAGATAAAGCCTGAGTGTGGATCACCCAGCCCTGAGCCACTTGGGAGCAATTGCTCTGGCTTAGATGGGCACAGCTTAAAAGTCATAAACCATTTGTACATGAAGCCCCCAAGCTCTTGGAAGAGGTTGGGGGTGCTGAACCGAATCTATGGGCAGGAACGGAGTAGGCCAACCATTGGGAAAGGTTGGACTTATTCCTACATTCCTATTCCTAGCATTTAATACCAACACCAAACGAGTCCCCCATTGGGCATGACTTTGACAAAGAAGTGTGGGTCTGGCTGAACAGACTGAGATCTGGATACGGATGCTTCAAAACAACACTTCACAAAATGAACACTTTCGATAGCCCCCTGTGTGAACGCAGAATCCAACAAACAGCACAGCATTTAATTAAAGCTGCAATCTCTACACATACCCAGATGGGGCAGATGGAATCTACAGGTTGAGCAATAATACAGTAGCTCATAATTTTGGAAGTTGATACTGATGCCATATGAAAGAAGAAGCAGCAGCCCTGTTGTTGAAGAATAATAGTATTTTTCCCAGTTTTAGGGAGTATGCTCTTATTGCTCCTTACAGCAATCAAGCTAGCTTACCTACAAAGACCATAAATATCTTTCAGATTTTTCACATCATATATGGTGAAGGACAGTCACAAAGTTTCTCCAGAATGCAATTCTATTCATTGATCGTTTACACATTGTAATGCAGTTACTTGTGAATTGAATTTGACCCACCCAAAGTATAAATCTTTCTGACAATCCAATGTGAGCTATACTGTGATACTTTTTCTTTTCTATGCTGCAGATAATAGAAAAGAATGCTGATCCTGAAATAATGTTGTTGTCTTACTTACGAAAAAGACGTATCCTTTTTTGTGTTCAATATAACTTATCTGAAACCATGGAAGATTAAATTGCTTTTCTTCAGAAAAGCATAAATGATACGAGAGGAAGAAGTAGAAGGTAAAAGTAGGAGAATTGGAGAAAGAAGATGGTAAGCATTAAAGAAGAAAGAAGATTAAGAAATATCTTCAATGTGATCAGATATAAGCATAGTAATTCTTAATTAATACTGAGTGCAAGCTTGTTATTTCTCTATTCCAAATTCTTGCAAGCAAATGACTTTGGAAACAGTTGTTTTCAAATGTATGAAAAAGTTGCATAAAGTATAGGACAGGCAGCTGACATCAGTTTTCTATGTGATCTTGATTGCTTCTTTGTACTATTTCAATACACTACATTTTTTGCCTCTTAGAAATGAAAAAGTTCCAGTGCTATTTTTGAACTGTCTTTGTATCTTTACAGGGCTGCATTTTTGGGCAAGCATGTGATTTGATGATAGTCATTGGTACGGCTGTTTAGACTTCTTTTATTTGGGTCAAATTCTATTCTTAAGCATATAGAGGTGCGTATGCTGGAATCCATACAAGCACTTTGTTTGCATCTAAGGGCCGATTTTGTACTTCAAGGAAGAGGAGGTTTTGTGTGTGTGTACATGCATACTTACACAAGGGGAGCTTTGCTGTAATCCAGGGGTTGGCAACTGACAGCCCATGACCCATATCTTGCCCATGGAACCTTGGATCTGGCATATGGAGCTGTGGCTTTGGTGCCATTTGGCAGCAGGGGCCTCTCTTTTGCTGGGCCACAATCAGCTGCCTTGGGCTTTGGTGGAGGGAGAGCTGTTTCTGTGCTGAGTCATAGTCAGCTGCCTGGGACTCTGGTGGAGTAGGAGCTCTGTCGGCTGGCATGGGCTCCAGCAAAGGGGGGCTTTTGCCACCTACACTGCAACTGAGCAGAGGGTAGAAGTGTGAATGGTCGTAATACCCACACCTCTCTGACCCCAGCTGTGTCATTCCAGCCCCCACACTGAAAAATGTGGCCACATCCTTGATCTGGTTCAAATATTTTGTTTTATCAGATCAGTGGAATCTAAACAGGGTTCCTCTGAAATCGGTCAGATGAAGATTTATTTATAGGAATCAGAATTCATGGTAGAGGTGATATCTTTCATTAGACCAACTTTATCTTTTGCAAAAAAAAAATATCTTTAATTGCAAGCTTTCGGGCACAAGCACCCTTCTTTAGACATAGGAGAAAAAACTGTAAAAGTTCTCCTGGGTAGAAATGAAAGTTCATATTTCATAGGAGAGTTGAAGGTATGGTAAAATCTCCTATTTGGAACAGTTCATTTTATTTGCAGATTAGGCTGAGAGAAAAGTTGGAATAGTCTGAAACACTGTACCACGTAAGAAATGTCTGCCCAGAAGAGTGACTGTGAAATATGAAATACCATAACCAGAAGGAAATATAAATACATCCTGCTTACCACCAAAGAACTTTGCAGTAAACAGACTATTCCAACTTTTCTCTGCACCTAATCTGCAAATAAAAGGAACTGTTCCAAACAGGAGATTTTACCATACCTTCAACTCCATGAAATATGAACTTTCATTTCTACCCAGGAGAACTTTTATAGTCTTTTCTCCCATGTCTGAAGAATGGTGTTTGTGCCTTAAAGCTTGCAATTAAAGATTTTTTTTTTTTTTTTTTGCAAAAATCTAGTTGATCTAATAAAAGATATCACCTCTACCATGAGTTCTAATTCCTTTTGCCTCTAGATCAATACAACTACAGCCTGGATACCTGATTTATTTATACATCATTTGTGGAAGAGGCAATTGACAAGGGAGGTAGAAATTACACAGTGCTGAGCTAAAAATAAAACTACAAATGCTATAAAGTCCTACAGTCAATAAGGATGCAAACTAATTAGCCCTGCAGTAAACATCTTATGTAGATGCTTACATGAGATATTTACTATGTCTGTACAAAGTGGCTGGTGTTTGCTTTGGATCCGGATTCAGCCAATTTGAGAGGCAGTGATTCGATTCGGTGATTTGAATCACTGTCCCAAATGAATCTGGAGATTCAGCCGCTGCCGAATTGGCCCAATCTCCGAATCAGCCCCATCCCCTGCCCACTTTCCCAGCCCCGTCAATGACTGCCCTGCCTGGCCCCAGCTCCCAGCTCTTTAAAAAAAAAAGCCCCTACTCACCAGCTGCTGCCAGGTGGGAGGGCAAGCCCAACTGCCCCCATGGCCGCACACTGCTTTAGGGGCTCTGTCACAAGCCCCCATCCCCTGCCCACTCTCACAGCCCCAGCTCCTGGCTCTTTAAAAATAACAAAAAAACAAAAGCCCTGACTCACCAACTGCTGCCAGGTGGGGTGGGGATGATCCCTGCTGCCCCTCACTGCCCCGCGCTGCATGGGGGGCTCTGCCACGAGCTCCCAGAAGCCCTGACGGCCACTGTAGCATCCAGTGAGTGCGGGCCTTTTTTTTTAAGAGCCAGGAGCTGGGGCTGGGCGGGGCAGCTGTGAGGTGGGGCTGGGAGAACAGGCGGGGGTTGGGAGGCTCATGGCAGAGCCCCCCATGCAGAGCGGGGCAGTGGGGGCCAGCAGAAATTACCCTTCTGCCTGGCAGGAGCTGGGAAATACGGACTTTTTTTTTTTTAAAGGGCCAGGAGCTGGGGTCAGGCAGGGCAGCCATTGGGGGTTGGGGGCTGGGAGGGTGATCATGGGGCGCTCAGGGGGGCTGGGGGAGCAGGCAGGGGATGGGGCCTGGCAGGGGTCCCCTCCCCCTTTTTCCAACCCCCGCCCCCCTACTTACCAGCATGGAGTCTAGCTCCAGCTCCGTGCTGCAGCTATCTCCTGGGGACTGCCCGAATCTCTGAAGCTCTTGGAATCTTTTCTGAATCAATTCAGACCTTTGTATTGGTCTCCTGATTCAATTAGCATTCAGAGATTTGGCCACAGAATCGGGCCGAATCTCCTCCAAATGGAATCAGCACCTGAAGCTTCACACAGCCCTAATGTTTACTGCGGAGTTGACAAATTAGCTCTACAGTAAATGTCTCAGCATCTACACCTGCATCCCTATTAGGACTGAGGAAACTAATAAACTCCACAGCAAGGTAGTACTTGTCAATTTTTTGTCAGCAGCCCATGTGTAGATGCTGACATGGATGGCTGGAGCATGAGGGTGCTTCATTGCAGTAAGTAATATGTAGTTTATAAGAATCAAGATCACATAGAGAACTGATGTCAGCTGCTGGCTCCTCTGCAGCACATTGATCCTAGTCAGAGCAGCCCTGGGCTGGCAAGCTGAACCCCAGGTCTCTCTGCCATGTAGATATACCAACGATGTAATAATGGGCCAAGCAGTACATTCTTTCAGAAAAGGACACCATGGCAGGAGGAGTGGCAATATAGATACATTAGTAGTTACAGTCAAATTGGAGTTAGAATCATAGAATCATAGAAGTTTAGGGTGGGAAGGGACCTTGGGAAGTCATTTAATCCAACCCCCTGCTCAAAGAAGGACCATCCCCAACTAGATCATTCCAGCCCAGACTTTGTTGAGCTAGGCCTTAAAAACCTCCAAGGATGCAGATTCCACTACCTCTCTGGGTAACCCGTTCCAGTGCTTCACCACCCTCCTTTGGGTCTTTAAGAAGAGGCTGGATGCCTACCTGGCTGGACTCGTTTGAGTCCCGTTTCTCTTTTTGGGGTTTTTTGTTGTTCTCCCGCCCTGGCGGGGGGTCGGGCTAGAAGATCTACTAGGTCCCTCCCGACCCTTAATCTATGAATCTATGAATCTATGAAAGCTGTTATCAAACCCCCTCTTGGTCTTCTCCCTCAGCCTCTCCTCATAAATCATGTGCCTCAGCCCCCTAACTATTTTCACTGCCCTCCTCTAGACTCCCCAACTTGTTCACATCCTTTCTGTAGCGGGGCCTAGTAGTGATAGGGTTCTGATCTATCCAGTGGATAAACAAACTTCTGTGATATACCCTTTAACAGGGAACAGATCAAGATCAGTGGGCTGATTTTAGTTTAGGGTTTACCTTTATTAAACTGAATCCCTTTTTCTCTAAGGAAGAAGGATTGGAGTGAAGGAGCTGTTCTCTAGCCTTATGTCCCAGCCATTAAAAACATGCTGCACTTATAAAGTATTTTATTTAAGAGAAATGAACTGATCAGTTACAACCTAAAACATATAAACAATACTTACACTTCAATTTAGGTGACACTTCCCTTCAGAGTGATAGGATTTGTAACAACTTTGGGTTCTTGACTTGCTTTTTGTAACACCAGTACATTAGTATCTTCACTTAAATGCAGAACACACAGAGTACTACAGATACCAGCCTTGTTGAGCTAACTGCTATTCAATTATTAGCATAAATGAATTAATGAGTTAATGATTATTAGCATAAAGGAGCATGTTTGCTCCTGTACTACAAACTCACACTCTCTAAATAACTGTAATTCATAGATCTTTGGTTGTTTTATTAATATAATTCTTGTTCATTGATTTTTTTTTTCTTGTTCCATTGTTAAATGCTATTTGATCGCCCCTGGCTCAGATCCTTGAAACTGCTCCATGTGAGCTGAGCAAGTAGTAAGCAGCATTACCCGAGTCCTTTTTAATTAAATTCAGGACATCTGAATAATAATTTTCTCCATCTCTCAGAGCAAATAACTTGAAATAGATGATACTGCCAAACTCTGAACAAAACTCAGTGCTGCAGAATTTATGGTTTATTTACAGTCTTCCATGAAAATGGGTCCTACATATTGCATTTATATTACAGGCTTTGTGTTATTTGTCTGAGCAGTTCTAAGCCTATGCACTGTCCCTACAAAATAACTACCTTAATTTAGGAAAATATAAACACTTGCCCTTAATGCTTAGCAACTGAAGAAAACCTTTGAGCATCCAAGTTAGTTCTACCCTGCCATTGGCAAAAAAAATGTTGACAGCATGTCAACTGCTGTCATTTTGTTTGCTATAAAATCATTTAGCTTTAGAAAGAAATGTCTAGTTCTCATTCAGTCAATATCTAATCTTTGTTTTGGTCACTCAATTCAAAGCTAATTTGATCCAAGTAAGAGACTCCAGTCTGTCTTTACACATCTGGGCAAATTGAACAAAATTGTATTAAACAAGAACACATGGCTCCTTCTTCCTTATCTGTAGTTCTTTCAGTCCATCTTACAGGAACAAAATATGGCTGTGGGACAGGTAGCTGTGGAGCTTGCACTGTGATGATATCAACATACGAGCCAATTTCCAAGAAGATACGGTATCCTTTATACATTTAAAAAAAATCATAAATTGATGTAATTAAGATTTTTAACCTTGTAAAGGAAAGCAGTTCTTACAACAATGAGCTATGCTCATATTCATGTTTGGTGACATTCCCTAGAATCATTGATTAGACATTGCTGATATAGGGCTAAATGACTGTTGTGTTGACTGTATTTTATGGTGACGTAGAATTTTTAAGTAAAAATATTTAAAAATACATCAAATTGTTGGGAATACAGAGTGTAATTTTTGTATGGACACTGTATTGTACCAAGCTTTGTCATAGAAAACGATCACCCGTCCTATATATATGTCTCTGATTCTCCTTTACATTCTGAAGACATTATTCTGCCAATGCTTGCCTGATTCCCATCTGTTGTCTTTATGGTGCTGCCGTTACCACTGTGGAAGGTATTGGAAGCATAAAATCAAGAATTCACCCAGTTCAGGTAAGTATGTGTCTTGCTGTGCCCTGGCACACGTTCATTTAATGATGTGATGGGATCTGATCCCTGATCCCAGCAATCATGCCTCCTGTAATTCCACATATGCATGGCAGGAGACAAAATTTTGGGACTGGGGATCAGATCCCTATTCCACTGCTACTATTTGCCAGTACAGGGGGAGCCTGGGATTATTATCTTGGGCACCCCTTACTCTCTCTGACAAGTTCAAAGCTGGGTGCCACAGTCTCAGTGAACAGTCCTGATTCGAAAGTTAGGGCGGTCCAGGGACTGGACCTTCTCAGACAGTCTTGGGGCCCTCAGGGCAGACAATCACCTGATTATTGGCCCTGCTCAGACAGCCCTTGGTTCAAGACCCATTGTGTATGGTAGAACAGCTCTCATGTTTTACTTTCAGAGGTTTCTGGGCAAAGCATGTTCTGTTTGCGTGTGTAGTCTACAATCAAGATTGAAGTCAGTGTTCATCACTAATACACCCCACTTTATCTCTGGTGTTTTAGAATGCTTCCAAGCATGCTGCTTTTGAAGTGTTTTCTTGTAAAGAATAAAACTGCATTAGGCGCTTTGTGTGTTAATGAGTAGGCAATGCTCTCATTGCCTACTCCTGACCCCCAGCCCCTTGCACCACTGGTACCCCTCACTCCCCTCCTCAAAACATAAATAAGATTGCTTCTGAAAGTACCCCACAAAAATTCAGTATTGCTGCACTGTGAAACCAGGGCCTATCTTATCTTGTTTTAGGAAAGGATTGCCAAATGCCATGGCTCTCAGTGTGGTTTCTGCACCCCTGGAATGGTTATGTCCATATATGCATTACTGAGAAATCACCCTGAACCCACTATGGAGCAGATATCTGAAGCACTGGCTGGTAAGTTCTTATTAAAGTAACATGTCACAGCAAGCATTACAATGTGAATTTAAAAGATTAATAGTTTATTTAATACAGTAGACACTAGTCATGTTGAAGAAAATGTAAAGAAAGTCACACAGGAAGAGAGCTAAGTGCCGACAGCAGGAAGTAGAATCTAGATGCACTTCTGAGCAGAGTTGGAGGAAAGCCTTCTGATTAAAATGATAATCCAAGTGATCAGTAAAAGGTCAACATATTAATTAACCATATGTTGTGATTGGTTCCAGAGGGACCTTAAAATGCCTATACTCTCGCCTATTCCTAGATGTTTCCTTAGAGGACCAGTGTGTAAACACTGGTTGGAAGGGACCTCTCTGGATTTTCAAATTCATCAGTTACCAGGTGGTTGAAGTTTCTTCTCACTGAGAAGCCCTGCTGCTCTCTCTCTCTCTCTTTTTGGGATGGTTCATAGTTCCTGGGACTTCTGAGCTTTAAAAGAGAGTCCCCTCTCTATCAAGACAGACATATCTTTTATGGGTGCTTCCTTCCTTGTCTCCTGTTCCCCATTCTGATTATTCTGTTCAGATGGAGGACCTTTCCACAGCTTGATGTACCTGACAAATGTAGGGCAAACACAACAGGAGTTCCTGACTTCAGATCCAAATATTGATCATCGGGGAGGAGGGCAGTATTATACACTCTATTGAAGTTTTGAACACACTGGAAAGCCACAACTTCTCTGCTTTGGGTTTTGTTAAATTTTTATGCATCCCGTTATTTTAATATGGAAAATATATTAATTGGACTCTCTTAATTGTTTGTTCTTATATCAGGAAATTTATGCCGTTGCACTGGCTACAGGCCAATAATTGATGCATGTAAGACTTTTTGTAAAGTAAGTAGAAGTAAGTTCAGTGGATTTGTTCTTAATTGCACAACTATGTTTCTGTGAACCTTTATTTTGGATATGCTATATGTTGCCCTTTATTTTCATATGACAGACTTTAAATATTAGTAACATTTCTTGTATTGTCACTAGTGGATGGTCAGTCACACCCACTACTGTCAATATTTCAATATAGTGTAAGTTACAACTCCCAGGCTTTATAATCTTTAAAACATTTACCTTTTTCCATTCTTACATTCTACCTGAAGCTGACTTTTTTGATAACTAAATATGAGTTTTTGTGTAACTGATGCTAATATATTGATTGTTAAAATATATAGTGTGTGAAATTTGGCAGTGTTAGCTTTGGAATTCCCTCATTTTGAGAGATTGGTATTTAACTGTATGTCTTTGCATGTGAAATATTAAATAGTGGGAGTTCTTTTATACAGTTAGGTTAGAGCCAAATAGGACACTAGCTGAAAGCATGAATACTTGCTGATTCATTTAAGGTTTGTTAGCAGAAGTGTCTTGCTGTATTAAATGGAAGTGAATTGTTAATTACTTCTTTAGGACTTGGACTGCTGTAAAATTAGAGAGAATGAAAAATGTTGCTTGGACCTAAAAGAAAACCTACTGCTTTCTGGGAAGGGTAAAGAAGTATGTCATATTTGTTCCATTTGTCTTCAATTCTATTTTTACATTTATACTACATGAATTATTAATTGTTCTTTATTTGTAAAGTGTAAAGAAGTAGGAATCTCGGAGAGGCAACTGCAATGAATCCAAAATTGCCATGTAATGTGAGATGCTGTACAACAGCTTAGTTGAACAACCAAAAAGGTGTGCTAGCGCAGAGTCTGCCTAAGCCTAGTGGATTTGTTTACAAATTCAGGACCTTATTGAGAAAACATGCCAAAAAAAATCCTGAAGACTTACCACATATCATTTAGGATTTCATAAAGGAGCAGGAGAAAACAACCCTCTGAGAATGCGGTTTAAAGTAGATCAAAACAAATAATTTCTCAAGAGTGTACATATGGGTTCATTCAGTGGCCCCACCAATATATTTATAATTGCCAGTTTCAAATAATAAATCTGACTGTGGTATTTTCTGTGGTTACCTTATACTTACTATGGGTATATCATAATGATAAATAGGGAGAAGATAAGATTTTCATGGTGATCACTGCATCACGGAACTTAAAAAATATATTTTTAAAGATACTAAGGATTGACAAGAATTGTGAGCACCTTTTTTAAAGTATTGTAAGATAAAGCTTTGTGTTTTGTGGGGGTTCTTGTTTTGACTTGCCACAATTTTACAAATTTTAGCAATCTGTCTCTTTGTGCCAAAAATGTTAAGAGGCAACAGAAGGATTCCACTAAATATTACTGAGGATCTCCTCCTTTTACTTGCATCTGCTTAATGCCACTGTTGTACTTAGCTGTAAATTTTCTTATACCTGAAAGGGTGGATCTTCCATACTTTTAACAGCCTTTTTATTTCCACATATCAACCTCAAAAAAAAGTCTGTCTTCTGACAAAAAGCAAAATCATGACTTGGGTGATTTTTTGAGAAACATTTTTTCTGAAATGACCAAAACCCGCATGTTGAATCAATATTGTGTAATAGATAATGCCTGTAATAATTTAATGGGCCGCTTCCATAGATGATGTAGTTATTTATGGAAAATTTCATCCCACTACATAGGGACCATAAAAATTTAACTGTATCACATACTTCCTATTAAAAGGTAACCATTAGTTTTAAAAAACCCTGTTTTTTACTGACTAGTGTTGTTTATACAAGCAGTATGCAAAACAACAGAAAAGAAAATATTTTTCTTTATTTTTTCATTTAAGTGGGGCAAAGCACCTTGCACAGAAGTCAACTTCACTTTAATTAAGATTTGGACAGTAAAAGTCTATTAAGCGAATGGTGTAAATTATCTTAGAATTTATAAAAGAAGTGATGAATCTGATCTGGTGTTTAGGGGTGATCTGATCTGGGGCAAAAAAATGGCTGCTGTATGTCATCTTTGTGGCCACACAAGTAAAAGTCTTGCTGCGCACAAACTTTTAAAGGCTGCGTACCTGCTGGGAGAGGAGCTGGGCTGCAGCGTGGGACACTTACTGAAGGTAAGCTCCTCCCCAAGGTGAGGCAGAGGCAAGGCAGGGACGGGGGCTGAAGCCTGGCATGGGCTCTGCTGGCTCCAGGAAACTGCTCTGCTCCCCCACATCGCCTCGGGGAGTGAAGAGGCACGTGGCATCAGGGCTGGGAGTGGAGCACTTCCCCGGAGCTGGCAGAGCCTGTGGAGCAGTTCCCCAGAGCCAGCAGAGGCCACGCCAGCCACCAGCCCCAGCCTCCATCCCTGCCTTGCCTCACCTTGGGGAGGAGCCGCTGCCTGCCCTGAGTGAGGCTCTGCCAGCTCCAGGGATCTGCTCCACGGGATCCACCGGCTCCGGGGAACTGCTCCACTCCCCAGCCCTGACACTATGTGCCTCCTTGCTCCCTGAGGTGATGCAGGGGAGTGGAGCAGTTCCCCAGAGCCAGCTGAGCCCACACCAGCCCCCACTGCCTGTCCTGGGTGAGGAGTGAGCAGCTTACCTTCAGTAAGTGTCCCATGCTGCACTGAAAGGGGGCGGTGGGACCAAAGTGGCACACTCACGGACCAAAGTGGCACACTCACGGACCAAAGCGGCGCACTCACGGACCACTACTCCTTCGAGGGAACACTGCTAACATCTAGGTCCTGTTAGACGTGAGTTCAGTCTCTCACGTGTCTTAGAGCAGCTTGATCATGTCTTAGGCCAAGTTACTATAAGATATACCTAACTGCAAGTAATTCTGAAAGGCTGTTTCTGTGAGCTGGAAACAGAACACAGAGTTGGCTCATTCGCTCTGATTTTGCCTAGCTATCTAAATCTAGGAAGTCAGATGACCTAGAACAGGGGTGCTCATAACCTCCGGCCCACAGGCCATATATGGTCCACGGAGCCTTGGAACTAGCCTGCAGTGTTCCCAATGGGTTGGGAAATTTAGCAGAGAAGGAGCAATGGCAGTAATGCCACCTCTTCCCACCACCAAAATTCCAAGCCCTGTTGGATGGGTCTCAGGTGGGCCCTTCCCTCCAGGCTACCTGGTTGGGGCTGGGCTGCAGCCCCTTCTCCCCACAGGGCTGGGCCTCCCCCATAGGGCTGGGACACTGCCCCTTCCTTCCACTTGGCCAGGTTGGAGCTGGGACATGCCCCCTTCCTCCCACAGGGCTGAGCCATAGCCCCTTTTCCCCTCCATCCCCACGGGGCTAGGCCATGCCCCCTTCCAGGCCAGGCCAGGTTGGCTACAGGCCACACCCCATCCCCCCCGCAGGGCTGGCTCAGGGCCAGGTCACAGCCACTTGCCCTCCCATGGGGCCAGATTACAGCTGGCCCAAGCCCCCTCCCACTGCAAGGCTCGATCAGGGCCAGGCTGCCTCCTCTGCACATCCAGATTGGGTCCTACCAAATCCACCCTGCAGAAGGATTGGGCACTTCCCATCCAGCCCACCAGCAACACTGTTCTAGAACCAGCTCTAGGCCATTGAAGGATTTGTGAGACAAGAAAAAAATTGCAGAGAAAGTTGTGTTTTTTCTGGCTACTTCAGCCTATATCTAGCTCTATACATGTTGGGTTATTTTTTCATTGTTATAAAACACAATACAAATCTTAAAATAATCCAGTGTGAGGATTATATAGATCAGCAGTTGGGTCGCAACCCAAATGAGGGTTGCAGGGGCAATGCCAGCGGCGCTGCATGCAAAGGACAAGCTGCGCCATGTACCGGGAGTTCCCCTGCCCCGACCCATGGGCTGCTGCCACACTCTGCTCCCAGGAGTGGCCCACACCAAAAAAAGGTTGGGAACTACTGATATAGATTGTGGACAGCATTAGGTAATAATCTTGTAAGAACATGACCATTTCTGTTCAAATCCGATGTAAATCCCTGACATTGTGATTATGTTCTTCCTATCTAACTGAAAAGTTTATTTTTCTTTAAATCTCTTAATCAGTGAAAATATTTTTCCCTTTAGATGTGCACAAAATTGTTTGCTACAGATGAATTCCAGCCCTGGGACTCAACTCAGGAATTAATATTTCCACCTAAGCTACTGGTAAGATCAAGCTTATGTAACTAGTGAAGAAAGGAGCGTGTTCTTGAATAAAAGAATAAGGTTTGTGCTTTGCACTCTAAATATTTCAGAGAACTCTCTTATGTATTAGAAGACACCTCTTTGCATCTCCTAATTGTAAGATTAACAAAACTGAAAACCTACATGCTGAGGAGTATGACCTCAGACGGTTCCACTGTTTTAAATCTGCATATTTGTATATGTATCAGAAGGCAGAACCTGACCCTTCTGTTTACAGAACCCTGTTATCTTGTTTCTTTACACCTGTTCTGTTACTTTGCTAAATGAATAGTTTAATACCTGGATATTTTCTCTCGGAACAAGTTCTAAATCATTATTCCTTCCTCTACAGCTAATGGTGAAAGACCAGCAAAAAAGAACTCTAGTTTTCCATGGGGAAAGAACTACATGGATTTCTCCTGTTAGTTTAAAAGAGCTACTAGAGCTGAAAGCCAAGTATCCAAAAGCACCTCTTGTTGTAGGAAACACCAGTGTGGGTACGTAAAATTGGATCTCCTTCCCCTACAGGAAGTGGTCATATGGATGTAGAAAATCTAAGGTTTAATCTGGTGCCCAGGACTAAAATAAAAGTACTGTGAGGTACTGATTTTATTTCTTGAAATTATATTGACTATTAGCACTTTTACACTAACTTTTAACTTCCTTATAAAATTGGACTATCTGGTGTCAGATCAAAGGATGAAGTAGAATTATATGTATTTTTATTAAAAAACATGACATATAAGAGATGTTGTGGGGAGGGTTATTACAAAACAATTTTTTGTAAAAAAAACAAAAACAAAAAACCCCAGTCTTTGGGTAACTGTGAATTCCATTCTTGAAATGCAGGCATTCTCTTTGTGTTATCATCAGTTCCTTTTGGACAATAGTGCTGGCTGGGGCCACAACTTAAGCTCTACAGCCATGTCGACATGAGCATGGACGTTTGGTTCCCTGGGGACATGTAGCAGCAGCGTCCAGGGAGCACCTATGCCACACGTGCTTTGGTGCATGGCAAGTTATCCTGGGTAAGGTAGGGGAGGCTGGGGTCAGCACTGTGCTGGCCCCAGCAACCTTACCTGAGGTGCTGGGGGCCTCCTGAGGCTGCAACAGTGGAGATTCTGCTGTACGGAGCCTGGCCAGCAGTCATAGTGTGGCTTCGGGTGGCCCAGCTGTGCTTTTGAGTGGCACGCATTGCCTGTGTATGCACTGCTTTGCTTTTTTTCCCCCACAGGTTTTTTTGACCCCTGGATATACAGGGGTCAGAAAAACCTGTGTGGGAAAAAAATGCAGGGCAGCGTTCCCTTGCAGTGCAGAGAACATGTGAAAGTGTAGTATGTGGCGCCGCAAATGTGTTTGCGGTGCCTCATATCACAAGGCTGCGCTCATCTGGACGCAGCCTACATATCCATATATAAGGACAAGAAATGAGGAGTCTTTCAGTTCCTCCTTACAGTCTACAGAATCTCTACAGTGTCTGTTTGCTTCTCTTTACTATATGCTAGCATTTGTATTAAGTGACCATGAGTTGATTACTTTCACTATCCACGCAAAGCTGGCAAGTAAGTCAGCAATTACGGAAGTCCCCAACTTTAGGAAAGCTGACTTTAATAAGCTCAGAAGGCCCTGAGAGACCATGATTTGATGGGAAGGGGAGTTCAAGATGAGTGGTCACTCCTTAAGGAAGCAATCCAAAAAGCACAAGGAAAGTCCATCCCAGCCCATAGGAAAGGTAACAAAAGAGCTCAGCAACCCCTTTGGCTCAGCAGGGAGCTCATGGACCTCCTACCTCTAAAAATAGAAGTTTATAAAGGATGAAAGCTAGGAAACACCACTAAGGAGGAGTATTCTGCACTGGTCCTCACCTGTAGGGAATGAACTAGGAAAGCCACAGCTGTAACTGAACTCCATCTGGCTACACAAATCAAGGACAGTAAAAAGTCCTTCAGATACGTGGGAAGTCAAAAAAAAGAAGAAAAAAGAAAAAAAGGGCATCATTGGACCCCTGCTAAACCAAGTGGGGCAGCTGACAACTGCCACCCAGGAAAAAGCCAACCTGCTTAATGATTACTTTACATTGGTCTTTCACCAGCCCAAAGGGACCACCCTGCCTGACAAGATGCAGGATGACTAGGGTAAGAGTAAATATACACCCACCATTGGCATAGGTCTTGTGAGGAACACCTTGAGAGGCTGGACTCCCACAAATCAGCTGGTTTGGATAGACTGCATCCAAGAGTGCTAAAGGAACTGGCAGACATCATAGTATGGTCACTGGCAAGGATATTCGAGAACTCATGGCTTTTGGGCGAAGCACCTGAAGATTGGAAGAGGGCCAATGTGGGGCCTATCTTCAAGAAAGGGAGGAAGGAAGATCCAAGGAACTACAAGCCAATCAGTTTGACCTCATTCCCTGGAAAGGTCTTGCAAAAAATTATCAAAGGGAACATTCCTGATAGGCTAACAGAAGGTAACATTTTGAGGGATAGCCAGCACAGATTTGTTGTGGGCAGGTCTTGCCTGACCAATCCCATTTCCTTCTATGACCAGGTGACATATCACGTGGACAAAGGGAAAGAGGTTGATATCATATATTTGGACTTTAAAAAGCCTTTGACCTGGTGTCCCATTATGTCCTCATGGAAAAACTGGGGAACTGAGGCCTTGACTATGCTACAGTCTGATAGCTGGGGAACTGGCTCCAATGTTGGACCTAGAGAGTGGTAGTTGATGGAACTGAAAAAACATGGCAGACAGTGATCAGTGGTGTCCCCCAAGGCTCCTTCCTTGGACCTGTACTCTTCAGTGTCTTTATAAATGACCTAGACTCTGGTGTTAGAAGTGGACTGGCTAAGTTCACTGATGACACCAAACTATGGGGAAGAGTGCCCACACTGGAGGATAGGTTGGTAATCCAGGCCAACCTCGATAGGCTTGCAAGGTGGGTGGAGGAAAACCGGATGACATTCAATACACAGAAATGCAAGATGCTCCAGCTCAGGGAAAAAAAACTGCATCACACTTGTAGGCTCAGCAGTGCTATACTCACTAGCACCATGGTTGAAAGAGACTTGGGGGTCATGACTGACCACAAGATGAACATGAGCCACCAATGTGATATCGCAGTTGGCAAAGCGAATAAAACTGGCTTGCATCTACCGATGCATCTCAAGCATGACTCAGGAAGTCATCCTCCCACTGTACTCAGCCTTGGTGAGGCCACAGCTGGAGTATTGCATCCAATTCTGGGCTCCACAATGAAGAAAGGATGTGGAGAAGCATAAGAGAGTCCAGAGGAGAGCCACATGCATGATCAGAGGGCAAGAGAGAAGGCCTTATGAAGAGAGGCTGAGAGCCATGGGACTCTTTAGCCCAGAAAAGCATAGGCTCAGGGATGACTTGATGGCAGCCTATAAGTACATAAGGGGCGTGCATCAGGATCTGGGGAAACGCTTGTTCACCAGAGCACCCCAAGGGAAAACAAGGAGGACCAGTGGTCACAAACACCTGAAAGACATAAGGAAAAACTTCTTCGCTGTCCAAGCCATCAAGGCCTGGAATAGACTCCCCCCCAGAAGTGATGCAAGCACCTACTCTGGGCACTTTCAAGAAACATTTGGATGCCTATCTTGCTGGGATCCTTTGACCCTAGCTGACTTTCTGCCCCTTGGGCAGGGGGCTGGACCCAATGATCTTACAAGGTCCCTTCCAGCCCTAATGTCTCTGAAATCTATGAAATCTTAATTAGTTATTGTTACTGTCATAGGCAGTGGAAGGCCAGGGCTAAGCCCCCTTCCCCCCCCCAGTACAGGCAGCCCGGATGGGGGCTCTGGGAAGCTGCAAGGTCGGGGGGGGGGGGAAGTGCACACAGAGAACAGCTGGACCCTGCAGGCGGCTGGAAACTCAGCCAGGTACA